TTATAGAAATAAGTGTTTTGCGTATATTATTAATATAACAATACAATATTATATTGTTAAGATGCTAATAATAAGAGCGTATTAGGTTACTGTATCCTCATATAATTACTTGCATTAATTAGCACAAATGCGCATTCAAGTGTTTTAAATGGAGTAATGTGCTGACAGTACAATTTATAAAATTGCATAGGATTGCAACCTGAGAAAGCAATTCAGTTGCCATGATTCGCATATATAATTAAGAACTACCGATTAAAGTCGGATAAACGGTATGAGTGTTTTGTCTTTATTGCGAATTAGATAAAAATATTTTACAAATAGATACAATTTTCTTATAAAATCTGTGTGTGTTTATTTAAAATGTGCAAATTGTTATATAAATATAAATATTTCCCACGAATTGTATAAATGTGTTAAAAAAGAAGATATAAATATTTAAGCCTTTTCTTTTTAAATTAGAATTTTACTTGCTAATGTGTGATATTAGAAAGTAAAATTCTAAATTTATTGTAAATTTATAATTAGTTATTTCAATAAGCAACAATAATTGCTTGATTGGTAATTTATGGATAATTGCTACAATAATTAATTTATTAAAAATATTAATTATATTGTAAGTACAAACAAACCGTCATTTGGGCAGTTTGAAAGGATAGAATACATTTTATAAAAAATTATGAATGTAGAAGAACAAATTATTTTGGATACTATATTTTATTAACGAGAATTACAATGTATCATTCTTTATTTTGTATGAACAATGAATTTAATCGTAATTTAATCAATTTTTTATTGGTGAAAATCAAAAATGATAACCTGCTATTTAATTAATTAGTTAATAGCGTGAAGCAGATTTTGTGGATTCTCGATCCAGTAATCCGAAAATAAAGATGGCGCCAAATATTTTAAGCATAGATTCAAAAATACTTACGGAAAAAAATTTTCAAAAAGAGGAATCTTCGATTATTGAAAAGACAATAGATGATGAAAATGACATGCAAACCAGAAGCGAGAGTTATATAAGAACTGAAGGCTTCAAGACGGAGCTGAAATGGATGAACATCGTACCTATTAGTTTTCTCCACTTATGCTTCGTATATGTCTTTTTTACTTTTAAAATTTTCGAAAATCTGAAGACGACCGCTTGGAGTAAGTATTCTTTGTAAAATTCTTTTGTTAATTTAATTCTTTGACTTTATAGAAAAACTACATAATAAAAAAGTAAAATTTAATCTGTTAATGATTTAATTAAAATCGATTGCATGTTTATAAAAAACGCCATAGTCGTTTTTAACGCTTTCTGACATCAACGACAGCTGATTGAAAGCCAATTGATTAGACTTACGCGATTAAAGAGAGCACGCAATAGAAGCTTAACAATAGATCAGTAAATTGCTGTTTAAAATTTCTCATTTCTATTGTACAATATCGATTGTGTCATAAATTATCTTGAATTGTCAAATCAATGCTACTTACATAGTGCTCTTAAGAAATACGGATTATTATTCACAATTTTAAAGCATTTCTAATGTTCTAATTGCGCCGACTTTTTTTGTTTCAAGTATATGGCATGATTTTAATAGGAGGAATAGGCGTCACTGCCGGTGCTCATCGTTTATGGACCCATAAAGCTTATAAGGCAAAATGGCAGCTTAAAATCATACTTGTCATTTTTTATGCTACAACAGGCATGGTAGATAAACGTTTATAATTACGTTTTATGCGTTGTAAGACGGAAGAATTTTTCTTTACAATTGTATTCTTTTAGAATGACATTTTCGAATGGGTGCGAGATCATCGAGTGCACCACAAATATACGGATACGGATGCGGATCCACATAATAGTAACCGAGGATTTTTTTTCTCTCATGTGGGTTGGTTGATGATGAAGAAACATCCAGATGTGATTCGAAAGGGTCGTGATGTCGATATGAGTGATATATTGGCTGATCCTATTGTTGTATTCAGTGTCAAGTAAGTTTGTGCAAAGAATTAATTATGCGAAGTGATTTTACCCCGGAAAAGACAAAAGAAAAGAAGAACGTTACAAAAAAGCTAGCCTTTTCTGTGATTGTGCAAAATCGACATCATTTCTTACAGTTTTTGAGGCGCGAAATTCGATGCTGTTAGCTAAAATTTCGTCAAATAACAAAGACACAGAAGTTGAGTCAAAAGTGTATTTATTATTCCAATTTCTTTCTCAATTTTAGAATCTTCTCTAAAAAGTTTTTTTACCGAAATTTTTTTATGCAATACATATAAAAATGTAATAAAAATTATATATCGTAATTTATTTCTGTTTTTTTGCAGATATTTCTTGGTATTAAAATTTATCTTCGCTTTTCTGCTTCCGGTAATGTTGCCTGTGTATGGATGGAATGAGACTTGGTATAGAGCTTTCGTGTCACAGATTATTCTTCGTTATGTTCTCCTTTTAAATTTCATATGGTGCGTCAATAGTGTGGCTCATATTTGGGGCTCAAGGCCGTATGATGCGTAAGCATATAATTAATATCAAAATTATTTTCATATATAAATTTAATCAAAAGAAATCTAATGCTTTCGCTATCACCCAAGAATAATTTTATTTCATTTTTTAAATGGCAGGCACATAAATCCGACGAATAATCAATGGATTAACTTTATTACGGTCGGTGAAGGATTGCACAATTATCATCATGTCTTTCCGTGGGACTATAGGACTTCCGAGTTATACAATTCTATAACTACAGATTTCATCAATTTTTTTGCAAAAATCGGGTGGGCGTATGATCTCAAAGAATCGTCGCAGGAGCTCGTGAAGATCATCGCGATGAAAAAGGGTGATGGAAGCCATCCTTTATGGAATGCTATGCCATATCCAACTAGTTGAATTGAATAATAAAAGTAGTAGAAAGTTATCTTGCGATAGAGTTTTTTTTAGATTAGTTAACGACAAATGGATGCAATTAAAATAATTTATGTGTTTGTTAATATAATAATATAGACATAAGGTCTTATTTATTTTTTTAGACTGTAACACTTCTTTAATATTTGATAATACTGTACGACAAATTTAAACTTTTTTTCTAAACCACAAATCGGATCATGTGATTTTTATAGATTTTTTTAGTCGTTGAAAACAAATTTGTAAATAAAATTGCTCTATTACGTCATGTTTTTTAGATATTTTATTTCAAAAAAATGCCATTTTTTTGACACCTTTAGGTTTAACCCTTTGGCCTACAACCACGAGTGAGACTCGTGGTAAGGAATTTGGTAAGTGAGACTCGTGGTAAGGAGTCTGACTCGTGCTTATTGTTTATGGATCAAATTACTAGTACGGTACATCACTAGGAGCTCCCTGCAAAGTCTACGGGATGAGAAATCGCGGACATAGTAGATTCTGAAGAAATATTCTGTACATCACAGAACGCGTCTCGAATATCTTGACGACGTATTCAACATACGTTTGCGATATTGTTCTAACGTTGTCAGAACGTAGATGGCTGTCTGGGAAGTGACGACTCCCAACCTTGAACCGTACTCTAAGCGGGTATGGGTTCCATCCTTCATAAAATTTTCCGTCCGAGCGAGCGTCTGCAGCGCTGCGAGGACGTCCTATCATTGGTCGCCGTGCAGCTCACGCCGAGCTCCGGCCGTCTTTCGAACGGGGCGTAAAGACTCACATCAAGTTCCCCGCCGTTCAACCCTCTCACCTTCCCTCGTCGCTCGTCAACGGAACCTTTTTCGGTATCCGTCCGCCGACCACTCGAGGGTGACTAGAGCATCTTGATAGAGTAAACTAGACGCAGGCATATACTCTAGTCTGTATAGCGGAGAATCGAACGCGCACTCCGCGTCCGGCGAATTTTAAAAACCGGACGTGACAGCTTTTTATGCTCTTTAATATTGAATTGTTTTTATTAGTAAAGCCTTATTTTACAATTTTAAGATAATTAATTCGGACTGAAGTGAACAAACATCCGCCTCGGCCATCTTGAAAAACATGGTATTACATCTATAAAAACTACAGAATAAATTTAACCCTTACCATACCATCTACAATTTGGTGCCTCATCCATACCATCAAGGGTCACTTCAAATCTCTTCGTTTTTTCACCTCTTCAAAATAATAAA